GGGGGGCTGGGGCCTGCTGCCCCCGCTCCGGGGCTGCCGCGGGATAGCACCAGCTGGGCAGCAGCCCAGACGCGACTGGCCAGGGGCTGGGCGCAGCGTGCGCGCTGCTGGGTTCCCGCAGCAGGCCCCGGCTCGGGGGGTTCGGGGACGCCAGAGCCGCAGCCACCAAGCGCCATGGCTGCTTCCTCTCCCTACCACCCAACTGAGTCCTGCCTGCTCGGGACCAGGCCGGATTCTTACTCACCCCGGCCCCGCGCTTCCCCTGAGTCTCCCGGGCCTCCCTCCAGCGCTTGCGGAGGAAGGGTTGTTTTTTTTTTGGTTTTTTTGGCCACCCCACCCCCACCCCACCCCACCCCGCGTCCCGATATTTGACTTGGGTGATCTGGTCACCCTATAATGTGTTCACATACTTACCAATACAACTGAAAGTCTGAAGTAAGGAAATTGTCTGAGTCTATTCATAGGAGGGCACTCACTATAAATTCCCAGTTAATTTTCCAGTGGTACTTGTTTGTGCTTAAAACAACTCTTGCTGCTTTCTAGTGAATTGCTTTAACATGCAATGTAGCTTTAGCGTGGCACCAGTAAAATGTGTTTAGAGATGTTTCTTTATCCAGATTTATGTGCAGCATTCTTAAGTGTTTCAATACCCTGTGGTGTCAGTTCCTATCCTTTTGCTCCTCTGTGTTGCTGAAGCATTGCCATCAATTATTTGATTCAGTCTCTGTCTGTGTGATGATAACATATGTGAAGTAATGTTTAAAGATTAATTTTAGGACTGTTTGTTTATATTGACTATCAGAGTTTTGTGTTACTACAAACGAACTAGTAATACTCAGGAAAAACATTTGAATATTTGCATTGGCTTCCATGAAATCAGATGTTTGGTGCTTGGAATTTACAGAAGTGCCTACATGAGGAGCCTAAAAATTATTTTCAACTCTGTAACTTTGCTTCCAAAATATCCTGATTTTTTATACCGAACATTGGCTTTATTCTTTGACAGACTTTATAAGCAGATCTATGGTATACACTCGATTCACTAATTTAAAACTGCACACTACAAACATCTATAAATGAACACAAAGTGTGTTGATTGGAAGGCTCTCTGATGGTGAATGTATACGTTACAGTGCAAAGGTTCATCTTAATCACTGGTATTTTTCTCTCATTCTTCATATCAAGTAATACTTTTGCTTTCACAATTCCTGACTATAAAAATGAAGGATTTTATGCTTCCTCATTAGTGTTTATTCCATTATTTTGACATAATCATGACACCTCCATGGAAGAGATGATTTATAGGGGTATATTCCTCTTTCAAAGCCCTTGCAGAAGTTAATGAGAACAGAAAGGAGAATATTTCCCTTTAGGTGCGTAAGTCAGCAGCATACACATTTTCATTATCATTCTTGTGTTTTTTAAGACTGCATGGGGAAGTGAGGAAACTGTGGTGTTATTTTCACGAAGTCAAAGAGAATAGAAACCATTATTCATTTTAAGACTGCTCCATAACGGTTGCAAGTTTGGGTTTTATTTCTATAAATTAAAGCATGGGAAATGTTTCATTTGAATTGCCTTTTTAATATTCCAAAAAATATAAATCAAACTTTCTTTTAAAGTCACCAGCTCACTGCAGTGGGACCACTGTGTCAGGCAAGAAAACTGCACTAGGACTGTAACTGCTCGGGGCTGCTTTCATATAAATGTCATGATGATGGTTGGCTCAATTGTTCTTGTCCTTTTGCAATGCATGCATTTTTGTGGCAGTAGGTTACATTTCCAGACGGGCAATGCTTCAGCAATTACATGGAGTCAGTACATTCTCACACGACGAGCGTCACTATGCCGCTTACACATGGATGGACAAAGGTAAGGCTTGATAACACCACCTTCATTTTTATCTTAACATGTTAGTTGAAGTATCCTGTATTTTTCTGTTGCAGTGAGATGGGCAACGGTTAGAGGTTCCACGTTCAGGTGAAGTCAGATATAAGACGCTGATTTTATTTGTCAGAAATGTTTCGCCACAAACTAACTATTGCTAAAAATTAGAACAGTAGAACTAATGTTATAATGTTATAAAACAGCAATTGATTCATGTAGGTCAAGCCATGTCTGAATAACCCAATCCATATATAGGGCAGAATATTGAGGAGACAGGAGAGTTATTTTTAGGTGGGCAGAGGTAGCCCGACTGGCTTATTACTTTCTTCGCTGAAGCTCAGAATTTATGATTAGTCATTTAGATGGCACAATCAATGTACACACTATAATGCTGCCATGCAGGAGGTAAGCTTCAAATGAGACAGCCCCTGTCAACAGTTGCTTGTTATCTAGTGGATAAACAGGTACCATACAGCATAACCTCCCAACCTGTGGTTCATGAAGCACTTGCTAAGTGGTCTGTGGAGATTTGTCTTTTCATATGGTGGTGGCTGCCTCTCCCAGGCTTCCAACTGCTTCTACAGGTATTGAGGAAGAGCCTGGCGACCTACAAAATCAGCTGGAAGCAAGGAGGAAGAGCAAGCATAGCTCTGTCTACTAGGAGAAGAGGAAACAGGAGCCACCACCAAGGTCTGGAGCTGCCAGGCACCAGCAAGAGGAGACTGCTCAGGGGAGAAGAAAATGAGGCAGCGGGGGTTTATGTCTATTGGAGAAATGGCTGGAGGGGGCCTGATTGTCAGGCCGTGAGTCCAGGACACAAAGAAATTTAGTGGCAGAAAAGCATGTTTGGGGGAGAGAGGACACACGACAGGGTACTGTGTGCAGGAAGAGAACAGGATAAGGGGACGGAGTAGCAGAGGAACATTTGCCCTGAAAAGAGAAACAGAACAGATTGGAGGAGACGTGAAATTAAGAGTAAAATAGAGACAGAAAAACAAAATTAAACTCATTAAAGAGAACTGTGAATACATTCATTTCTTAAGGGTACTATCCCAGGTAATCTGTTACTTTAGTTGCCAAGGAGCTGTTCTGTGTTCACAGATGGGAGGGGCAGTGGCCCTCATGATAATCAGTGGGAGGAGAGGAATCCACGGAACAATCTCTATTAAGAAGTGGTCCATACAATGAAGATATTTGAGAACAGAGCAATATAATATAGAATAAACATAGTATGGCCTGTCATCTTTGTTGCTGAGCTGTATTTTACATTAATAGCAACTACATCCATAGAAAGAAGTGGGGAGGTGGGAGATAACATTAACTGTGTGGAGGATTGTAGAACAGGCTGGCACTGTTTGACTGAAACATTCCCATTTGGTGGCAGATTCTGATGCTGCTGGGAAATGTTAAGTGAGTTCTTCTAACTTGGTGGTGCAGGTAGCTTGTTAACTGTCCCTTGTGTATGGGAGATGGGAGTGCTCGCTACATAGAGAAGTGAAGGTGTGGGCAGAGCAGTCTGGAGGGAGGAGCCCTGGGGCAGCCACGCCTGTGGAGATGGTTGGAGCTGAAGGTTTTGTTGTTTTTTTGTCAAACCCAAGGAGGGTGGTGAGTGTGATGCTACTCAGCATGTGGACTTTGTTTTAGGGCAGGCTGCTCACTCAGGGTGAGATATTTTTGACATATTCTGCACAAGAGGCATGGGGGCGGGGAGAGAAGCAAACTTGAACTGAAGAACATGAGGGCAGAAGTGGCAACAGGCCCAGACTGCCCCCAAACAACAGCTGTTGCAGGCCATGTGGCAATTTGTGAAGGAGTCCAACAAGAACGGCAGCAACAACTTTGGGAGCTGATGTTCCACAGACTGATTAACCCATGGCCACCGTCTGGACTGCCGGTGAGCATCAGCCCTTCTCTGTCTATCATGAAACCGGATGGTGACCCTGAGGCTCCTTTTTCACAGTAGAGGTACAAGGGGTAAATATATATATATATATTAAGTGCCTACATTTGAGAAAGGCCATGCTGCCCCCGTTTCAGCTCAGTTCCATAGCACAGTTCATAGAGCTGCTCTTAGGAAGAAAATTGAAAGACTTAGGGACTCAATGGTGGGCAATGAAAAGAGAAGGTTGGCCAGACACAGAGGGGACTGATGGGGGGACTTATGTGTTTTGCTTATTAGGAAAAGGAAAACATAAGAAAATTGTGTTACATATTGCACTGTAATTTTGGGAAGACATAATGACTCACTGAGCCCACAGCCAAAAAGAACAATCACCAGGAATCTAGGAGGAAGCCTCCAGCCCTAAGTATTATGTAAGGAACAGTGGTATATACAAAAACATTGTTCCTCATGGATGTACTGACGATAGAGAGATGAGGTCTAGTAGAGGCCAGGGGTCTGGCTCTCCCAGTGGGTAATAAATGGACCCATAGAAATGGAAGGGCGAATTGTTAGAACCCTGCAAATCTGTGGATATCCAGTTTATAGCTGTAGATCATGTTTGTGGACCGTGGCTTGGATGCGGATACAAATTTTGTATCCATGCAGGGTTCTAGGAATGGTGGCCTGCCAGGTTGACTCATGGTACACCCAGACTTTGATGTAAGAGGGCTTGATATGACTCGAGTGCCTTAAGGAATTAGATTCCATACAGGTCCCCTATGACTACAAGGACTCCAGGGCCTACCCAAAGGCTATAATTCCCCTATGAGAGGGGGCAGCTTGCTTGTGTTATCCTGCCTCATTGAAATGCAGGGAGCCTGGGTAAACTTTCAGTCTATCCTGGTTTCCAGGGTGTACCCAGGGATTCATGACCATGCAGAATGAGATGTTGCAGAGAGCAAGTCCTCTGGTCACTGCAGGGGCTTTGGGAGTTAGGTTGTCCAGGAGAGAGAAAACCAGGGTGCATGCCTAAGCATCGGCTCTAACAGGCTGGCAGTGTTTGCATAGAAATCATAGAAGTGTAGGACTGGAAGGGACCTTGACAGGTCATCTAGTCCAGTCCCCTGCACTCATGGTAGGACTAAGTATTATCTAGACCATCCCTGACAGGTGTTTGTCTAACCTGCTCTTAAAAACCTCCAGTGACGGAGATTCCTCATCCTCTCTAGGTGACATGTTCCAGTGCTCACCCCCCCTGACAGGAAGTTTTTCCTAATGTCCAACCTAAATCTTGATTGCTACAGTTTAAGCTCACTGTTTCTTGACCTGGCATTTGTGGTTAAGGAGATCACTTTATCACCCTCCTCTTTATAACAACCTTTTAGATTGTTATCATGTCCCCCCTCAGTCTTCTCTTCGCCAGACTCAATAAACCCAATTTTTTCAATCTTACTTCGTAGGTCATGTTTTCTAGACCTTTAATCATTTTTTGTTGCTTTTCTCTAGACTTTTTCCAATTTGTCCACATCTTTCCCAAAGTGTGGTGCCCAGAACCGGGCACACAATTCCATTTCAGGCCCTATCAGTGTTGAGTAGATTGGAAGAATTACTGCTCATGTCTTGCTTACAACACTCCTGCTAATGCATGAAACACACCTCCCTGTTAGCAGTCATTGATCATGGTGCTTTTATACCTCACTCATATAAAAGAGAGTGGCTCTCTGAAGAGAGAGAGAGAAAGAACGGATCTACAGTGTGTGAGACCCCTGAGGGAGCAGCACATTTGAGGAGAGGCCTAAACTGAACATTATCAGATAGTTAATAAAGCTAAATTCCAGGAAGGGGTGGGGTTTTGACTTTGTTTTAAAGCAGGCTGGGAAGGTCACAGAGGGCCTCGGATCTTTCCTAAGTTACATGTTTCGGTTCAGAAATCTTTCATGACTCCAAAGTTTGAGAGAGGTGTCATGCTGAGCTTTTGAAATTCAATCTGAATATTGTATTTAATGGAAAACAGCACGACATGTTCCCAAAGGGATCCCAAAAATTATACCTGTTAATGTCAGTTCTGCTAAAAGGCATTAGTTAATTGTACCGCACAACAGCAAAGAACATTTATTCTTATTTAAAGGAAGGAAAAAGTCCTGTGACACATGCAAATGGCACATCACATATTTTAAACACTCTGCATGTCGCCTACACAGACTGAGCAGACATATTTGTCCCTTCAGCACCTTTCACAGCTTGAACACCAATATGTTTGCTTTTTACATGCTCTTGTCATTAATACCAACTACTAAAGGGAAAAATACATACAGCCTGTGCACCATGTCGGGAAAACGGGGCTTGGGGTCATGGGCCGCCTTGTGTTGTGGGGTCTGGGACACCTGCAAAGCCTCTTCACTAACCCTCTTTGGTCGGCAACTGCAGTGCTGATGAACTGCCTCCAAAGCTCCATGGCTAGAGTGCTGCAAGGTCTGTGAGGCTATGGAGCACATTCATTCATAAGGTATTCGGTCCATATATCCTCACAGATAAGCCGCCCCCTGCTTTTATGCAGGTCTCTGCAGTAGTGTTGAACCAGGGCCAGGCAGCAGCACTAACACCTGCACTGAGAGGTGAATGTGAACTCCCTGGCTGGGGAACATGTGGAACTTGGAAACTGAAACAGGCATAAATTTCTCTTCAGTGTGAGGGGGACTAAAATCCTGCAGTGCTGCGGAGCTCACGTTTGGCAAGGCAACAGCCTCACTCAGTGTAGAAGCTTTGCAAACTGCAGCGCCGACTTAAATATAAACTGACCCGCTCAGCTCCAAACGTTGATCTGCATAGCAATACTTTGATGTGCATCTGCCCAGTAATTCCCAGGTGGGTGCTGGCAACTGGCTAATTTCTGCCACTTCTGCAGCGTCACGGGGGCAGGGAGTTTAATGTCACAGCAGATGTTGCCTGTGGGACTGGGATCCCTAAACTACCACTTCCTCAGGAGAGCAGGAACTGTAAATGTGGTGTGAAGCTTAGCTCAGGCTTTAGTTGTGGGAGACTGAATGATGGGGAAGGTTCTTATCCAGGTTCAAGTCTTCACCAACACCAGGAAGCATTCTACTCCCTAATCATTTCTGCTGGTTTCTGAGCTTTCTCCTTTGAGGAGACGTCATCCTCTTCTGGGGATGAAGAAGGATTAAACTTGCTTCTCAACAAGGGCTTGGGAAGGGGGCATTGGACTGTATATGCCACAGGGATGGCCCCCATTCCACGCATAGATAGACCTGATGAAGGCATCCATAGCTGCCCCGTTATCTCAGCAACTAGACTCAAGTGAGTATCTGAACGTACTCTGAGACGCTTAGAGAAGTCTCCGGCCCATGAGCTCCAAACGTTTGTTCCAAAGTCTCTCAGCCTCTAGCCTTTTGTGTTGCAGAAAAGCACCTGTAACTTTCAGCATTGTGTTGTAGCCTGTCTCTGGATCTGCCTGACTCGGTGTAGATGGATTGCAGAGCTGACCCAAGCCTGTCTTGCAAAGACTAGCCTGGGTCCCTGATTTCTTCTAGTCCAGGAAGCACAGTGAAGGCATTAGAGATGAAAGGGATCAGCAGCAGTGATACTCAATGCAGACTACACGGTCAGGGAGACTAAGCTGCCTACCTTGTGTGCCAGGAAATGAAAAAGGGCCAAAAATGAACCCCCCTTCCTCCTGCTGCAGCCACCCCATGCTCCCCTGTGTCCTAATGCCACTCCCGGATCCTTTACTGTCCAGTCCCTTCTCAGCCCCAACTCCCTCCCCTCTGCTCCCACCCTGTGAACCCATAGCAAGGCTATGTTGAGCAGCTTATTCTGCTTAGTCTGATGATAGACAAGCCTGAGTGAGCATAACCCAAATCAGTACCTTCAACACCCAACCAAGCTCGATGCTGTTTCTCTCCAGGAAGGATTGGGAGACTACCAGTGAGTTTGGTGAGGGGAGAGTGTGTGTGTCTATTTCTAACTGGCGGTCACAGTTCCCCGCGAAACCATACACAAAAAATGTGTATGGTCCAATCCCATGGTGTGGAGTCGGTTGAGGGGCAGAGCAACTGTCTCACTCCACTGTATGGGAAGTTGGAGGTGATTTGGGGGCGAGAATGTTTAAATGATATTCCTTCCCCCTGCACATTGCCTGGAAGAGGGGCCAGTTCAAGGGTCAGTGTCTCCTCTCAGCCAGCCAGCTGCCAAGAACATCACAGACTAAGGAGGGTTACTCTGAACATAGCCGTAGCAGTGTTTGGTGCAAGGCAAAGGGCATGCGCAACAGGATGTGATGCTGGCACTGAGCCTTCACTTCATGTCCTGTAATAAGGTAGATAATTTAGTTTTAAATAATGTAACGTATGAGTCTAGGAGACATCCCTTGTGCCATGACTGGAGCAAATTCTGGTTAGCCTATGCAGATCTCTGTAATAAGCAGCTATTTCTAACAGCCTGATTTGTCTGGAGAGGTCTGACAGCATTCTCACTGTTGTTTATGCATTGGCAGGAAGTTAAGACTATGCAAGTATCAAAACGTTCATCGAGTCTGTAACGAGTCTGTGATGTCCATGTACAACAGAGCGTTTGCATTTGGTTTTCAAATACGTTTGGGTCTGTGCTGTAGCCCTGCCAGCTCATGTCTGCTTGATTGTATTTACCTTATTCATACAGAAAACCGGGAAAACACCTTCAGCCGTTCCCGAAGCTCCAGTGTCTCCAGCATCGACAAGGAGTCCAAGGAAGCAATTACAGCTTTGTACTTTATGGAGACCTTTTCACGGAAGAATGACTCTACGGTCTCCCCCTGTCTGTGGGTTGGAACAGGCCTTGGTATGGTCTTAATCATCTCCCTTAATCTGCCTGCTACTGAGGAATTAAGGCAGACAGAACCGGTCATGGTGTCTCCAAGTGGTAAGAGTTTTTGTCTGCTTTCCTGTTCTTTGTCTGTCTTGGTAGCAGGAGAGGGTATAAATATCTGCTTTTATCTGGTTTCTCTGACCAAAATCTCTCATGTAGTGAATATTAACCCCCGGTGGTTCATTACACTGAGTGCACAGAGATACAAAGAGGTGATTGAGGGTCCTGTGGCATCTTTAAGACTAACAGAAGTATTGGGAGCATAAGCTTCCGTGGGTAAAAACCTCACTTCTTCAGATGCAAGTCTGAAGGTGCCACAGGACCCTCTGTTGCTTTTTACAGATTCAGACTAACACGGCTACCCCTCTGATAAAAGAGGTGATTGTAGCAGTGATAGCTGTAATTTAGAGACGTAGGACAGTCTGTTTTATTAATCACAAAGATTAGATCTTACATAGAGGTGCACACATTCCTTGTAAGGACTGGAAACAGGAGACTTTTTTTTCAGACTAGAAAAATAGATAAGTTCCTCCTGGGAAAGTGTATTTGGGATTCCCTTGAACGTGTCAAGAATTTGATGGATCATGTGGCAACAGAAATGTCACTAAATTCCAGTAGAAGGTATCTTTAGATGTATTCATAGTACTCGGCCCAAATAGCTATTTTCATATTTAAAGGTCTTCATAAACCTTAACTGATTATTCCTTCCCTGTGACATAGGGAGCTGCTCCCACTTCTGCAGATGAGGCAACAGGCACAGACAATAAGCGACTTGGCCAGTGTTAAGAGAGAGCCAATGATAAAGCCAGGATTAGATCTCAGGAGTTCCTGCGTTCTAGTCCTGTGCACTGACCCCCTCAGACAGGTCTCACTCATAGGAGAGGTCTAGCTTTCAGGACAAAAATTCAGCTTTGTGTAAAAGTAGGTGCAGAATGAACTAGGCCCTTGTTTCCCACCAAGTTACGATGCTGATTACAATTACAAGATTACTGACACAGAGGATGGTCAATTGAGTGCAGTTATGGATACTGATGAGGACATACCATGAGAGTAGAAACAAGGGCAGAGAACAAAAAACAAGGTTCAGTTTTGGAAAATACAAGTTAGTGCATGTGAGGAAAAACAATTGCAAATACATATACTAACTGAGAGGGGGAAATGTAGAAAGCAGAGAGACCTAGAGCTAGCCGTAGGCCGCAGATTGGTCATGAGTTTGTGGCTATGGCTTGGAAACAAGGCTAGTATAATTTTGAATTGCTTAGACAAAAGCATTTTGTCCCTGAGCAGAGAGGTTATAGTCCTCCTACATACAGCTCTGATCCAGCCCCAGCTGGAATATTGTGATCAGGTCGGGGGTGTCATTACCAGAGAAATCAGAGGGAGTTCAGAGAAGAATGACAAAATGATTAGGGGGTGAAGGGGATAATTTCCAGGGAAAGATTGAAAGATCCCAAGCACGTCTTGGCTAAGTGACAGGCACAGGTTACAGGGGATACTGGAGGGGGGTAAACACGAAGGAGGGACAGGATATATTTAACAGTTTTAAAGGGCGCTAACTAGGAATAATGGGAGGAAATTTAGGAGTAAAGAACTGTAGTCTGTATTAGACAAGGAAAGGATAGGAGCCACCTCAGTTGCATGCTTAAAACCTGACTGGAAAGACACTAGAAATTGCACTGGAAAGAACAATCCTATTGGTAGGAGAGTGGGATACATGCCGTAATTGGCCATTTTTATCTCTAAATTCTACTGTTTTCTATTGAATTTTTTTGTTAGGTTGCCTGAAACATTTTCAATAACTGCAGCTCTGCTCGTTCACCATCTCTGCCTTGCTGCAAAAATATTTAGTGTGAAGCAAAAGGTTACTTTGTGCAGTTAACAGTGCAGCTCATTAGCTTAGTAGGGCTGAGATGTGCTACTGTACCCCTAAAGCAGGGGTGGGCAAACTTTTTGGCCCAAGGGCCACATTGGGGTTGCAAAACTATATGGAGGGCCGGGTAGGGAAGGCTGTGCCTCCCCAAACAGCCTGCCCTGCCCCCTCCCACCCTCTGACTGCCTCCCTCAGAATTCCCGACCCATCCAACCGCCTCCTGCTCCCTGTCCCCCTGACTGCCCCCACCAGAGCCCCCGACCCATGCAACCACCCCCTGCTCCCTGTCTGCCGCCTGGGACCCCCCGCCCCCTTACCATGCCGGAGCCAGCCACACCGCTGCGCTGCCCAGCAGGATGGTGGGCCAGAGCGCTGGTGGTGCAGTGAGCTGAGGCTGTGGGGGAGGGGGGACAGCAGGGGAGGGGTCGGGGGGTAGCCTCCCCGTCTGGGAGCTCAGGGACCGGGCAGGATGGTCCCGCGGGCCGTAGTTTGCCCACCTCTGCCCTAAAGGGAAAATCTGGATGCAAAATAGACCATGATGCACATATGCACTAGTGACCACTGGATTTTTTGACAAGCATATGCCAAAGCTAGAGCATTATATTTTACAGGTACAGTTCTGACACTGAAGGGAGCAGTGCTGACTTTTTCATGCCTGGACTGCATGGGAGCATTGATACATTCACCCTATGAAGTATGGAGGGATCCAAACAGCATAGATGATAGTGAAAAAACGAGAAAAAGGAAACTTGTCATGTATTCTCCTTCGTCCTCCCAGGATATGGGAGATCACCAGTTTGCTGTCATCTGCTCAGAAAAACAAGCCAAAGTGTTCTCACTGCCTTCCCAGACATGCCTCTATGTTCACAACATCACAGAAACGTCCTTTCTATTGCGAGCAGATGTGGTGACCCTGTGTAACAGCATCTGCCTGGCTTGCTTTTGTGCCAACGGGCATATCATGACAATGAGGTACTTACCTAGCTAATCATTTGGCAAAATTGTAAAAGGCAACAGAATTAGGGCTGTAAAGGGGAGCAGGAGGCACACTGTCCACCTGCAAGCTGCTGCAGTGGGTGGCTGAGCATGTTTTTATTATGCACACATGTAAAGGAAAGCTGTACCCATTTTGCTCTGGTATATAATTTCTCTCAGTTAGGAATTCTTCTCACTCTCTAGTACCAGGATTATCTCTGACAGCAATAGCATGGCAGAAGCAGCAGCGCTCACTATGGCTAAAGTTGCAGAATAGTTTCCATGCAATCTCTCTTTGGTCAGTTATAACTGTCCGCTTTCAGCCTCTGGGCTAAAGACTTCCATGCCTGGTCTCACCCACGTATGTTCAATCACTATGGAAACCAAAATACCGTTTCCTACATTATAAAAAAAAAAAAATAGGGCTGTCAAGTGATTAACAAAATTAATTGCACGATTAATCGTGCTGTTAAACAATAATAGAATACCATTTATTTAAATATTTTTGGATGTTTTCCACATTTTCAAATATATTGATTTCAATTACAACACAGAATACAAAGTGTACAGTGCTCACTTTATATTTGTTTTTTATTACAAATATTGCACTGTAAAAAACAAAGAAATAGTATTTTCAATTCACCTAATACAAGTGCTGTAGTGCAATCTCTATCATGAAAGGTGAACTTACAATGTAGAATTATGTACAAAAAAACTGCATTCAAAAATAAAACAGTGTAAAACTTCAAGGCCTACAAGTCTACTCAGTCCTTCTACTTCTTCAGCCAATTGCTAAAACAAACAAGTTTGTTTACATTTACAGGAGATAATGCTGCCTGCTTCTTAGTTACACTGTCACCTGAAAGTGAGAACAGGCATTTGCATGGCATTGTTGTAGCCAGTGTTGCAAGATATTTACATGCCAGATGCGCTAAAGATTCATATGTCCCTTCATGCTTCAACCACCATTCTAGAAGCCATGCGTCCATGCTGATGATGGATTCTGCTTGATAATGATCTAAAGCAGTGCGGAGTGACACATGTTCATTTTCATCATCTGAGTCAGATGCCACCAACAGAAGGTTGATTTTCTTTTTTGGTGGTTTGGGTTCTGTAGTTTCTGCATCGGAGTGTTGCTCTTTTAAGACTTCTGAAAGCATGCTCCACACCTTGTCCCTCTCAGATTTTGGAAGGCACTTCAGATTCTTAAACCTTGGGAGGAGTGCTGTAGCTATCTTTAGAAATCTGATATTGGAACCTTCTTTGTGTTTTGTCAGAACTGCAGTGAAAGTGTTCTTAAAGCAAACAACATATGCTTGGTCGTCATCCGAGACTACCATAACACAAAATATATGGCAGAATGCGGGTAAAACCATGGAGCAGGAGAAATACAATTCTCCTCTAAGGAGTTCAGTTACAAATTTAATTTACACTTTTTTTTCTTTTAAACAATCATCATCAGCATAGTAGCATGTCCTCTGGAATGGTGATCGAAGCATGAAGAGGCATATGAATGTTTAGCATATCTGGAACACAAATACCTTGCAATGCTGGCTATAAAAGTGCCACGTAAACGCCTGTTCTCACTTTCAGGTGACATTGTAACTAAGAAGCGGGCAGCATTATCTCTTGTAAACGTAAAAAAACGTGTTTGTCTTAGCGATTGGCTGAACAAGAAGTAGGACTGAGTGGACTTGTAGGCTCTAAAGTTTTACACTGTTTTGTTTTTGAGTGCAATTATGCAAAAAAAATCTACATTTGTTAATTGCACTTTCACGATAAAGAGATTGCATTACAGTACTTGTATGAGGTGAATTGAAAAATACTGTTTCTTTTGTTTGTCGTTTTTACAGTGCAAATATTTGTCATAAAAAAATAATATAAAGTGAGCACTGTACACTTTGCATTCTGTGTTGTATCGGAAATCAATATATTTGAAAATGTAGAAAAACATCCAAAAATATTTAATAAATGTCAATTGGTATTCTATTGTTTAACAGTGCGATTAAAACTGCAATTAATCATGTTTTTTTTTAAATCATATGAGTTAACTGATTAATCGACATCCCTAAAAAAATTAATTCTTACAAATTCTTTTTGATTAGCTCCTCAATCAAAATTGCTAAGGTAGAATGTTGAAAAGTGGCATTAAAGCAGTCCTCATTCAGCAGCAGCATCTTTGAGAGTTCTACCCAACATTGGATTGGATTTAACCAAACTCTAACCTTTGAAAACCACATTCTGTGGACTTTTTTTGCCATGGGGACTTTAGGCTACTCCAGGGTTAGGTAGCAGCTGAGCAAGGTTTTGAGACTCTGAGTGGCACCTCAATGGAGGACTTAGACACCAAGCTGCATGTAAGACACCTAAGTCCTTTTGTGGAGCTAGCCCTAACAACCTATTTTGGTCACTGAAATTTGCTTTGAGACCAATACACAGAGGGAACAGATCTGTGAAGTGGAAAGGTGCCATTTTTACAGCAGCACATTTAAGAGTGCATTTTAAATACCACAGCATTCTAGTCTATATATGGAAAATACTAAATTACCTGTGGGTTTGAATCACGTGATAGAATAAAAGCATTTTCTGTAAATCCAAACATAACACAGGCATCTGCTTCTCTTCAGCTTGCCCAGCCTTCGCCCAATGCTGGATGTCAACTATTTGCCAGTAACAGACATGAGGATAGCACGGACATTTTGTTTCACCAATGAAGGGCAAGCTTTGTATCTCAGCTCTCCCACGGAGATCCAGCGACTGACATACAGCCAGGAGATGTGTGACAATCTACAGGTAGGGCTTGTAAACGTAGAAAGCACACATGCTGCTTGGCTTTCTTATTGTGGAGAAATCTTTGAAGCACTAATGGGCTCCCATTGTCAGATCTGTGCTTCCTACAGAGGAGGGCTGTACATGTTTGCAGCACTTCTGAGCCAGCCAGAGGCATCTCAACAGAGCCCTCCTACCACTGCCTTGATCACAGTGGTTTACACCATTCTCAGGCTTTCGGCTGTTAACACCATGTCCTCTGGTTTAAAATCTAGAGCAACCTGTTCCTTTTTCAGATCATTTTCATTCAATCCAATTCATTCTTATTTTTAATTTGGAACCTGAAACTCCAAATAACAGCGCAAAGATTGCCCAGATTTTTTGTAACATCTGCAGTGTCATGCATGGAACATAGGTCAATTTGCATCAACATTTCCAGAGAGAACCAATTTTCTCAAGAGAAAAGCTCCTACATTTGGAAAGAGTAAAATGGAAAAATAAATGCTTAGTGTCACTGTCTAATGCTCTGATCCCTGAATATGCACGTTCCTTGTGTTAAGTCTATGAAAGGATGCAAAACACTAACCCAAAATTTTATCAGCTAAAGATGGGGGAAACAAGATGCTTCTAAAACATTTGTTCCCAAAGAGAAATGATGTATTTGTAAACGGTCAGTTTCTCTGGAACAGTATGTTTTACTTGTAGGTTTCTCAAAGTAATGACACTTTTTACTCTCCTAAGTTTAATTAAATTTAAATTTAATTAAAAGTTAAAGTTTTAAATGATTAAAAATGGTAAGAAGTTGGATTGTAACATTATTGCCAGCAGATGGGCCAGGATGCCCAACAAAAGACATGGTACTGCCAGCTGTCGTTAGACCATGGCAATGTGTTGAGCAGCAGAAGTCATCACAATGCTGGCATTTTCAACACTGAAGAATTGTTATGAGGAATGAGTGCTGCAGCCAGGCTTGGGCTCACTGGAGAGGAGGAGTTGAAGCGACTGTTTACAAATTATTGGCGGGACTCTAAATACATCACTGAAGAAGGGTTTAAAACTAGGGGATGGGCTAGATTTGTTAGCCCAAGTAAGGGAATAAAAGGCTCTTAGCTCCCAACACTGCCACACTCCAGCTGCTCACATCACAGCTTCTGCACAGAGAGGAAGAGCAAGGGCTTTATACACCCAGTATCCCCCTCCCCCCAAAAAGCAAGTGGGAGGAGCATTGGCAGAGAGCCATGGTTTCACCCACCCTGACCTACCAGCTGGCAGAGCAGTAGTATTAATGTGCTGAAGCCATCTCCCCACAAATGGCTGCTACATAAGAAGTTACCCTAGCAGACTGCAAATAACTTTGATAGCTAGATTTGTTTCTAAAGAACCATTGGTTGGAAGGAGACAGGTGTAAGCTGTCCGGGGGCAGAGACCATGCCTTCAGCTGTGTCTGTAAATGTCTCGTGCACGATTGGTGCTGTGTAAATAGTAAAATTAAGTGGGAGGTAGGCACAGCTAGCATCCAGCGATGAGCTCTCGGAGGGAAGCCAATGGCCTTTTGTAAAAATTGCTTCCTGTCAGCAAGCACTAAACTCATCTTTATTGTTTTCTTTTTGTGAAGTATTGGTGGTCTGGTTGCCTGGATAATCACCAGCTGATTGTGATTTCTTGATTTTAATCAACATTTTTATGTTGTGGCTTCGTTGCATAATTTGCTCTCCACAAATCATAAAATATGAACCCACCAGGGGAATGAACACAAATTAAATTTGTTTTTAAATATGAGTGGCTTTGGTTGGACATTTTATCTGCACTGTTGACCCAGCTCTCGTAGTAACCAGATATCAAATGCTTAATGCTGTGTTTTTCATAGTATGAGAATTTTTTTTAAAGAATTGATGTTGCAGACAAACGGACAGTCAAATGTTGTCCCTTCTAGCCCTGGTCTTGCAATACAACATGTGGCATAGATCAGAATTCATCTTTTATTTGCTAAATGTCTGATGTCAATGACTCTTTAAGCTAATCCAGACATTTAAAGTAAATGGCAATCTTCATCGCTCTAGTTCCCTCATGTGTTCTTCTGTCTGATTTTGGCCAGGACATGCTTGGGGATTTGTTTACCCCAGTGGAAACACCAGAAGCCCAGAACAGAGGCTTTCTCAAGGGGCTGTTTGGAGGAAGCGGGCAGACCTTTGACAGAGAAGAGCTGTGTAAGTGATTATAACTGAAACTAACGGAAGACAAACAGTTAAACCGATACAAGGACAGGACACGTAATCTAGGAAAGAAGGGATGTTAAAAATGTTAAAGATAACAGAGAATTTGTCCCACAAGCTACTAGAAGGAGCAAGAGCTTGATCTTTCAGAGCCTTGTTTCTATCTACCCAAAATGTTTTCTTTCTTCCCAGTAAGAGCAAGTGAACAATAAAATAGGCCCCATCACTGCAGTTACTGAAGAACAGGTTCGAGATGGCACTAGTATCAAACCTGCCTGGGTAGCTTGAGGCAGTCTGTGTGCCACAGTACACTCCAAATAACAGCAAGGGAGTGAGGAACTAGCAATGAACTCTCTAGGTATCGATGGAGGAATGAGCTAACTCCACTTCCCCTGTGTAGTTGGCGAGGCTTCAGCAGGAAAAGCCTCTCGGAGTCTGGCTCAGCACATCCCTGGCTCGGGTGGAATCGAGGGTATGAAAGGAGCTGCAGGAGGGGTAATCGGAGACTTGGCTCGTGCGCGCCTCGCCCTTGATGAGAGAGGACAGAGACTGGGAGAATTGGATGAAAAGACTGCAAGCATGATGGCTAGTGCAGAGGCATTTTCCAAACATGCACATGAGGTATGGGTTCTTTGCACGTACATGTGGAGAGAGTTTGCCCTACCCAGGGTTACCCAAAGTTAAGAAAGCTGAACCTCCTTCAGGAAAATTAAACAAATCACAGTCCCCCAAGTGTTGTTACCTTCATTTATACAGCACCCTTCCCCACACATTGGGGAACCCTGGTATAGATTGTCATTATATGACACTTTCTCTCCTTTCCTACATGCTTGATAAGCAGTAAAGTATCGTCATTCACATCTGCACCCACTGAAATAAATGGGGTAGTTTTCCACCTCAGAGCTGCTGTTTTAGGCTCTCTGCAAACTCAGGGAGCCATCTACTTTGGTTACACTTACTCCAGATTTTCATAGCATTTAAAGCCAAAAGGGATGATCAGATCATCTAGTCTGCCGTCCTGTGTATCACAGGCCATTACATTTCATCTGGGTGTCCCTATATTAAGTCCAAAGACTTCAGTCCTCAGGAAACAAAACTGTGCGCCATGGAGAGAGAACAGGGGAGACCCAAGGTGCCACCAATGCTTGAGTTTCCTGCAATGTTTTCTTCATAAACATCTGTCTTTCAAAACTGCTGCCATCTCCCATTGGTGTCAGTGGGAGGGAGAGTACTATGTTCCCCCAGTTATGATGACCATTGCATCCATTCATTGACGTGTCAGTGTTGTTCCTGAAATCAGGCCTCAGTCCCTTTGGGAACAATGGGAGATAAGGGCAATACTCATTAATTGCTTTGAAGATTTTATGTGCCTATCCCTCCTGTCAAATATTCTGTTATGAACAATACCAGGAGAAATATTACCATTAATCCTGCTTCTTTTAAAAACCCACTAGATGCACAAGATGTGCTGAACAGGGAGGGGGAAACTAGGGTGGGTCATAGGTGTGCATCTGGATGCAAGGGAACAAGTGGGGCACTACAGGGCACAGGAAACTGGGGGCATGACCATAGTGTGTTATGCTAAACTGGTTTGCTCTAAATAGGCTGCTTAGCATGGAGACATTTGCTCTGTGAAATTGAAATGATGTCACCCTATGTATAGTCCTAAGAGGGGGAATCAACTGAAAAGTAGTAGTAGTACATTAAGGAATATTTACCTGTAATTCCAGTTTTCCAGATATCTGCACAGCAGGATTACCACCTACCTCATGCCCCAGGGAGAATGTTATTGGCTGTTATAAGTGCGAGGCAAAAAAATACTCTCAAAGAGATGTGTACTGACGGATGGTATTCTGGAAGCGAGGCACCTAGCGTACCCTAATCTATGGCAGTTCCTACTTCACCTTATGCAAAAAGCAGTATGCTAAAGTAGGAATTCCCTGAGAGCGTCTCTTCAGTGAACAAGAGCTATGGGTAAATAATGTTCTTTGTGGAGGTTTAATACTTAATTATGAAGTTAGAGAAAGCCTCCCCCCCCCCCCCCAAAAAAAAAACGTATTTCACAGCAGCAAAGGGAAATGACATGTTTGGCAAAGAACAACCTGATGCGATTTGTTTGCTCCAAATTTTCTACTTGATTATGAAGTCCATGACAATGAATGGACCTACTTCATTTGTGGTAGCACTAGTTCAGTGGAGTTCTGCCACATACTAACTTAGCACAAGTCTTTACCATTAGCAAACCAGATTTTTGTATCTAATTTTCATTTTGCTTATTTCCCATCTCTGTAGTTGATGCTGAAATATAAGGACAAGAAATGGTACCAGTTTTAGACTTTTAAAGAAGCTGCTTGGCTTTGATGAGAACACTATTCAGGGAAGCGGAACTTATTCCCAACACTACCAATCACTGGCCAGAAACAAAACTTTCTCCTAGGAAATGTTTTCCTGTTATTTGTTTGGATTCACCACAAGCGGGAAGTCAAGGAGAAGTTTTATATCCCACAAAACGGAGCCTAGACTTGTACTGGTCTTTTAGTCAAAATACCTGGCTTATGGTGTAGTAAATCTTTTTCCAAAAGCAACTGAACAGTCACATTGGCATGTAGCTTTTTTCAGAAGCTCTAGGAATGAACTGTGGAGAGTGTCTCTGGTTACAAATATCCTGTACAAACCTAGAATGTTAATGCACTTATTAAAAAAAATGAATACAATTTTGCATGACCAATTGACATCTTAAAAAGAAAGCATGTTGTGACCGAAGGAAAAGGGATTGATTTCTATGCTGAGCAAAAAATATTTAAAAACAGCAAAAATCTTTATTTTTAAAAACAACCCTACAAACAGCCAGTACATTTCAAGCGTGGGCGCTGCTGCTCTGGACAGAAAAAAGGAGATGAGCTGCATTGTCTTATTTGCTGCTAGTTCTTTTCCTTATAAAATCTTAGGTTGAACTCATCAGTGCTATTTAATTCCTATCCAAAGAATAAACTAACATCCAAATCCAATCCAAATGCTTTCTTTAGTGTTTGTGAAGGAGCCAGTTGGGATGTCACCTAAGTGAGAGTAGAGGGTGTCTTTACAACCCAAAGAGTGCAGGAAACACCTTCCATAACTACTAATTTTCTGAAAGCATCCTTTGAGGGGGCTGTGATAACATTTGTCACCCCAGGAGTGTCTGAATCACTTGGTTGCCTTGTTTTTTCAATATTAGAAGCTGAAGAGAAGGTGAGTCAGTAATTTATTGAATTAAACTGAAGAAAGTAGAGGGCCCAGTGGATCAAGCTGGTAAATCCCCTCAAGTCAGTGACTTCAGCAGCTTGCAGGAAAGAGTTGCACTGAAGCGATGCTAAGCAAATTGCACAGTAACCCAATTTAAAGCTGGCGGGCTGACGATCACACCAGCAACAGGTTTGAGCTGCAAAGCCCAGCAGATGTAATTTTATATAGACCAGTTTCTCCACTGTCTTGCCTGGTGTATTACCACTTACAACCTGTGCAAAACACTGCCACAGAGATGAGTGAGTGGAGAATTCAGGAGCACATTATATCTACTTTGCACAAGTGTAAATGCCCACACAAGGTGCAAGGTACTGGTGAAATAGGCTGTTCATATTGGTAAAGCTGCTGCCAGACCTCAATTGCTGCCACGGGGCTTTATGTGGTTTCCATTATGGGCTTTTAATTTTCTTCATTTTGCAGATACTGTCAGATTCTTTTCCACAACCGTTTATCATGATGTATTTGCCTGAACAGCATTCACATGCCAGAACAGTCAATTTCCTTCCCCAGCTCAGTTTTACTCCTTTGCATCAGCATAATTTCCAAAGTAACCAACTGTGAAGTCAGATGGATTCTAAAATTGACTTGGGAACAAGGTGCTAAGGTCATGTTTGCCAGCAAGTATGCACAAGTACAAACTAGGGAGAGAGAGACGGAGACACTTTGTATCAGGAGAATTCACTTTGAAGGAAAATGGTCTGAGAAAGTAGCTGCAGCTAGTGACCTCCCAAATAGCCATGTCCATCAGATTTGCTTTAACTTCCTACGTTTGTATCATGACAGTTTAATGCACACTCTGGACCACAAGACACTGCTCTGGATTCTGCATTTCCATGGAAAGCACTGCTAACCCTCACTCAGTCGCTCTCTCGCTATCTTCCCTGTTTTTAGTGGTGGGGTGGGTACTCACTGGCAAAAACACCTATTGTATATTTAATTTAGCTCAATTTTAGATATAGGTTTTGGACTCAGAAGTCTGGCATCACAAGCTGTGTGAATTAAGGCTATGGCACAAGTTTGAGGCGTCATTAAGGTTACACTGTTATGGCTCAATATGAATTTTGTGCTAGTCAGAATGTTTAAATTTTGCTGCGGGCAAGGTTAAAATGACAGCTTTGACCGTTGTAGTCCAGTTCTAGGCCTCTAAAAAGCCTTATGGCTAATCCAGCCCCTGTGTGAATTTCATGTTTACTCCACATGTACTCTGGCCTATAGTTAGTCTAAATCACTAATCTTGTGGGCACTTTAGCTTTACAAACACCTTAGAGAGGATATGTTCCCTAATTTAGCTGCAAGACTAGAGAAGGTATTTAAATGGTCACTGGATTAGGCTCACACCAAACAGGTAAAGATTCAGGAGGGAAATCCTTCTACCAGGCACTTGAGTTCGTTCTGTAACTTACTGCACCTGTTTCTATACTAATATAACGGGTATGAAAAGGATATTCCAGGTTCAAGTGTGATGCCATGTACACCTCCTCTACTGGCTACACTGGGAGTTTCCATTGCAATTCAATGACATGTTGCAGTATCCATAGATGTATCACACATAACTGTGTGGGCAGATTAGTGGAAAGCTTGGTGAGTGATTAGGATGGTACTAGTTCTGTGGTGTATAGAAATTCTCGGCTTGCTATTCCGCTTTTAGGCAGAGGTGTTGCTCTAACATCAATTCAGGGACCTCTGATCCTGAATGAAATGGGAGCCTCCTTAGGCAGATGCTAGAGCTCACTCTGTCATGAAGCAGTTGCACAAATCAGTTTGAACAGCTACAGCCTGCGTGAGGGAAATGTGCCTCCAGTAGGTCATTTACATTACACTTGCTCTATCAACAGTCTCTAACTTAACACCACGCTGTATCAGTGGGAAAGCCAGCCAGTAGCTTTCAATTTGCCTCTTTACTTCACAAAAGAAGAAGAATTTAGATTCCCCAAACATACAATTTTGGATGTTTAAATCCTTCATCGTTTTCTCTAGAAAAACTCCCCAGAAGGTCACAACTGTATCTTCCTTTCATCTATGGCATATTGTACATCTTTCCAGAAAGTTACAAATTCCTGTTTCTGTAATGTTCAGCTTTTGTGACTATAATTATTAATTTACTTGTAGTCTGTAGAGATCTAAAAAATTGTATATGTTTGTATATAGAACATTCTATATATATATATAAGTTTGTTAGTGCACACTGTTAAAATGCTTTCTATTGAAATTTACCGTGGATGTGGCGAAAAGTCTTTACTTTAAAATTTAATGAGGGAGGGGGAAGCCTGGCCGGTTAGTTTCTTGTGACATGAGGAGGAGTGTGGGATTTTTAAAGGGCCTACCCTAAACATTTTTTGTTAATAACAAGAGTAATAAAGTTGCAGCGTTCAAGCTGATAAGCATAGCAATGATTTTACTTGCTGAGAAGAAAATTAGGACACTAGGCTTTCTAAGAAGAATGTTGAACTCAAATGTGCTTTCATCTTTTCTACCAAGCCAGCACCAGCTCACACAAAATCCATAACTTTTAGGCTCTTTCAACATCTGAACTCTTAGTTTAAAAAGTACAAACTCCAGATAGGTTACATTAGATCTAACGTATAAAAGGCTCTCTCTAGCGACACTTTGGCATAATGTTGCTCAATTAAATATTTTTATGATGTTAAAAAATGCATATTTTTTTGTGAGTGAAAAATGTATTATCCCAAACAATCAGATATACAAATTACACACACAGCTAGGGGTGTAATATGCAGATAAAATATAGTAAATTAGATTCATTATGTGGCTTCTCATTAGACGAGTCCTTACTAGTAAGAACTATTTTATGTGCAGCCAACTCCTAGACATAGACCACTTTAAACTTCAATTCTGAATTAAAAATTTTTAAAAAAATCTAATGAAATTCTGTAACAGCACCAGGATTTGTTCTCTATAATCACATAAGATTTTTCTAAATCATATTTTTTTACATTCCTGTGTCCCAACTATTTATACTTTTGAGTAGATGTGGTCTGACTGCATTTCTGAATTCAAATTAGACCTTTTTTCTCTGTATTAAACAGAATATAGGTTTTGCATAAATATTTAAATATACACAGATATTCGATTATTAGACGTGTGAAGTTATCACAAAAATTCTCTGTACAACTTTTTACATATTCCTTTTTCAGAAACCATCTCACATCCAATTCCTTGTGTGTATTATAATAAATAAATTGTATACTGAAAAAATAATTCTGTATGTATCTAATGTGGAAAAACATCACAGCTAATGTAAACCTTGTATTCAACCTCAGGATTATTCTATTTATAAATTGTCTCTATTATATCACAGGCAAATTGCCAGACTGCATTTAATTGCACCCTTTAAGTATTCTGCTCTGGGTATCCCACATCACTTTTCATGACCTAAAGGTGAATGCAAACACAATATATTTCAGTCTTGATTAATTTTGCCTTGGTAAGGTGTCAGTAAGAACACACTCTCTCTCTCTCTCTCTCTCTCTCATTAATGAGTTGCATGTTTCCAGTTGTTGACAACACTTCATCTAGGTGTAATTCATGTAAAAGAATTTCCATTAATGTGTTTTCTCTTATGTGATTATTGACTAAAATCAAAATATTGTACCTTTTTTTTTTTTAAACTAGTGTCCAATATTCTGGCTCTGTCAAGGAACTGTGGACAAATTATGTGTGGTTTTCATTAATGAGGCACCACCTAATATTTCAAAATGAAGGTTAAATCCAGGAGTGAACCACACACTCCTCCTGCTCCACTAACCGTTTACTGTTTTGACAGGTATCCTAAAATTGGCATCACAAAGGTAAATTAAGACACCTTTGATTGAAGCTATTCTGAGTTCCCAGTGAAAGAACTGATGGAAAAGAAAATAAAGGAAAGAATTGACATTATTTTGTGTAATTCTCTTTTTTCAGGGGTATGTAGTTAGGTAAAGGGTTTATAATGCATATTCCATGTGATTAAGCATCCCTACTACAGTCAGCATCTCTACACACGGCTTTTTTTTGGTTTACAACTTCCATACAACGTCAGGCCCCACTAATGCCATCTTGTAAGTTAGTCTCTTGAGCTGTTATTTCTGTATTTTCATGATGTCTGGAACTCCCACAATATGCTGGCAGAGCAAGGGGGGCAGAAGGGGGAGCTTACGTATATCTAGCCCTTGTGGTTATCAGTGCTGTACTGCCTTGGCTCAAGAGTTCCTGCCTAAGATTCCAGTGTCAAAATGCATACATACTTTCACTGCGAGTTGTGCTTCTAAATAACGGAAGCACTTTTTAACACCTCTTCCCTCCCCCCCTCCCCCGCCCCCGCATAAGCTTTGAGTAAGTTACAGCTGCACCATTTGCTTAGACAGGTTACTTGTATTATGCAAAGAAATTTAGAGAACATAAAGTGGCACAGGAACTACAAAAAAACAATACATGTTCTACACACATTTGCAAATGGAACTGAGAAGCCCAATTCCCCCGGTCTTAGGAAACAGCAATTTGTTGGTTGGTCTTCTAGCATATGGACATGGCCCCTCACCCCACCTCCATATCAGGGCGCACCATGATTTTTACAGAGTACCTGACCCAGCTGCAAACACCGTCACCATGGTACACCACACCCAAGCACCAGATGGCTGTGGAGTCTTTCTGCACATGAGTGGCTGCTGTGCAAGCCCCTACTCCTTGGCTGGCAGGTGAACAGGAGCATATGTGGGGTAATTACTCACAATATGATTCTGTTGCTCCACCTGCAAGGAGACAAAAATCTCAGTCAAAGCTAATGAACAAGCACCAATCTTCCCACCTCCCTTCCAACTAGAGACTGGCCAAGCAAACTAAGGCCAGAGAGAAATGTCAAGTTATTCTGCCTGGAGAGGGGAGGGGGAATGGGACGGGAGAAGAAAGGACGGAGTAGGATATACAGAATTACTAGTGAGCAATCGTCCCCCAGCATACGTCTTTCTTCTTCCACCCTACCCAGCAACAGCAATTACAGACACCCTATGCTACAAGCTATGACCCAAAAAAGCCCTTACTATACCGTAGAGCTTGGAATAGGTACTGGCCTGAAGCAATGTCAGCAGACAAGGTCTGAGCAAACTGCGAATGTGAGTTGGAGGTCAGGGAAATGAGCCTTCAACATCGGTGGGAAATGCTTCCACTTTCTGAGCCCAGGAAAGATGCTACACCTCTTACAGCATGGGATTTAACACTTACGGCCATATACTTTGGACCCAGTCATGGCTTGGGGGCAAGGGGGGTTCAAGCTACAACTCACTGAGCTGTTATTGTGGATTCTGTCCCACATTTCAGCCTTCCTAACAAAAGCGTTACTACTCTTATGAGTGGCGGATACTTAAAACTTCAGAGCCTGCCTGACAGCCAGGGAGAGCCATGTCCTCTGGCGCAACTAAGAGTGACTAGGACCATGTCTACACTACAAACTTTGGTAGATGCAAGTTGTGCCAGCTAAAGTCATTGCAGTTAGTATATTACACATGTGAGTGCATACTTGACTCCTTCCACCAGGGCTGCATGTCAGTGCACAGTGCAGCACATCATGGGTAGCTATCCCAGTGTGCCACTCACCATCATCCAGTGCACTGTCTTTTTGAAAAATTTGACAATGCATGATGGGGTAGAAATGAGTCATGCAGGGGTGACTGGAGCAAGTGTGTGTGTGTGTGTGGGGGAGGGGTCAAGTTCCCATCATGCAACTTTCCCCATCCCATAAAGCTATACATTTCCCATAATTTTCATGCCTCTTTTAAATAGATCCCACTTCTTGTTCTTCACCATCTCTAAGAGCTCTGTTGTCATTCATGAGCGTTGCAAACCCAGAACAAACAATCCTCTGATATTTGCAGTGCCACAGGAAGAACCGTACCAATGGAGGACATGATGGTTTGAGGACAGTTTGTTGTGGGACATAGCGAAAACAATTCAAGGATGTTGATGACATTCAAGGAGCAGTTGCCTATTTGGCCTCTATTTCCATGGCTACGAGTACAGTGCAGTGGCACTGAATAGTGGCACTATTTTCCACAGGCGGTGGTGATTTTAGCTGATATCTTACTTCTGAGGGCAACAAAAGCACAGTTGCTGCTGGTGTCCCAAAACTGTCTGGGCCCATATGCCACTAGCCTGTTTACTGCTATGGTGCCTACTGAAGTCATTGTTGAATGGCATGGGAAAGTGTCCTATCGTGGAGGATGAAATGAGGCAGCCCACCCCAGAAGCCTTCAAGAGAGAGTTGCAGAGTACCTCCATGACAGTTTCATCAAGATCTCTCAGGAGGATACAAGGAACCACCCTATGGACATAAACAAGCTGCTCTGCATGCCCATCCACCCAACCCTACCGTGGACTGAAAAAGATACCTCTACCTCTGTTTGTTGTACCACTACCTCCTCCCGGAGAAATAAACCAATGAAAAGTCAATGCCTGACTCCTGCTAACTTGGGGTTGGGCGGGGCATCATCTTTATATTTAAACATTGTGAAGAAAAATGCATGCACACTTACCTTAAGTTCCTTCCCCTGCACTGGGCTTTTCTGCACTCGGTTTGTGGGACTGATAGACTGGAGGAGTCTCAAAAAGATCCTGGCTCATGGCATAGCTGGATGTCCCCGCTGCTGTGTCCCTCCTCTTCCCCCCTTGCTGTTCACAGCAGGGGTCTATGTCTCAGGCTCCTTGGACGTATCTAGAATACTCTGGGGGTGCTGGTGGGGTCTCCGCCAAGTGTGGTATGCAGCTCATTGTAAAAGTGGTAGGCCAGTGGCTCAGCACCAGATTGATTGTTGGCCTTCCTGGCCTTGTGGTATGCCTGTTACCGTTCCTTTGCTTTCACATGGCATTGCTGCTGGTCCCTATCATACCCCTTTGTCTGCAATCCTTGTGCAATCTTTTTGTAGATGTCCACATGTCTACAACTGGGCCGTAGCTGTGTTTGCACAGCCTCTTCTCCCCACTGGCCAGGAGATTCAATACCTCCTGTCTACTCCGGGCAGGAGAGCATCTAGTGTGTGGAGCTGTCATGGTTGGTTGGGCAGTTGCTCACAACGAGGAAGAGATGGCAGGTGTACTCAGCAAAGTGGACAATAAGGAAAAGGCATTTCAAAAATTCATGAGGGTTTCAAACTGGGCAGTGGAGTTCACTATCGTGACCAGAGCAGTCACTGCAACAGAGGTGAAATGAGATTCATTAACCTGAAACGCTGAATGAGTCTCCAGAATAAACTCTGGGGGATGCAAAAACCTGAGTTCTCATGCAAGTTAAAATGAGTTTAATTCCCCTACTTTGCAGCTATCGTGAATGCAATTAAGAATGGCACCTTAAGACAAAGTAGTTTCCATCCCTCTGAGATGTTTTGCTCCCAAAAGGGACCCAGAAGCACCTGGAGGAGGGAAGGCAGGTTCCACTGAAGAACCAAGTGCTGGTGCTTAACTCTCTGCAATTGAATGGAACAAAAGAAGCTTTTAGCCCCAGAGATGAGCAATTTCTCTATCCTCTGATGGCACTGTGAATAGCAATGAGCTGACACAGACCAGGAGAGAGTTAACTAAGATACATCTACGCTGCAATAAAAGACCTGCAGCACAGCTGTGGCTGGACTGGGTCTACTAACTCAGGCTCACAGGGCTTGGGCTGCAAGGCTAAAAGTTGTAGTGTAGACATTCAGATTTGGGCAGAAGCCCAGGCTCTGAGACCCACCCCCTCACGAGGTTTCACAGCCCACACTCCTGCCTGAGCTTCTATTTTTAGCCCTGCAGCCTGAGTCAATTGACCCAGGCCCTGAGACTTGATGCCAAGGATTTTTTATTGCAGTGTAGACATACCCTTAGGGGAAATTGAAGACATCTTTGAGACAGCAGCAACACGTGTCCAACTTTTTCTGAACTCCCAGCCTCAATTCCATGACAATACCTCTGTTCCCAGAAGAGCTCTGGTTTGCGAGCAGAAATGGGATTGGTTTTGAAAGTGGCTGGAGGCAAACCATTCCACCAATGGAAAGCCCAAATGCTAAACAAGTCCACTAAGGACCTGATGGTGAAGGCTCCGCTTGTCAGGAACCATTACTCTTATTAAGATCATCTGGCTTATGCTAAAACAATCTACCATGATATTCTTTTCTCCAAGATAAACTGACCAGCAGGATAGAAGTCACGATTACCCAGGAACCCAGCAATAAGACTTTCTGAAGCCTCTCGGGAGCACTGTCGGTAAATCCCAGCTGCCATCTGGTTGTTACTTCTCACTAGGACATGACTCTGATGGAAAGAACTGGAGAACCAAGGCTATTTCCTATGACTAGGCTGTGGGAAAGATTACTTTTTGACAGACGCAGACCTGCCTTATGCTGCTGGACTTCAGCCAGCCTGGAAAGAGCAGAACAGAACATGAACCAGAATAGGCTAAAACGGCAAGTTGTGTGGACACCGGAGCACAGTGAGTGAACGTGCTGCAGCAGTAAAACATAACCTTTACCCCCCCCCCCTTCTCCTCTCATTCCTGTTCACTCATTCTTTGTTTCTACAGGCATATCTACGCTGCTCCAGAGTTCAGACTAAGGAGGTGTGAATAGCAGCATGTCCCAAAGTGCTGTGCTGTAATTCCACCGTGTGGACACTGTGGGTGTGAACTGAAAGGTCCCAAGTTTGAACTCTAGACCTTTTAGTTACACCCACAGAATCCACATAGGGGAATTACAGCACAATACTTTGGTGTGCACTGCTATTAACACCTGCTTAGGGCTTGTCTACACTACAGGTTATGTTGGTATAACTTATGTCGCTCAGGGGTGTGAATAAGCCACCTTCCTGAGCAATACAAGTTACACCGACCTACGTGCCAGCGTGGACAGTGCTTTGTTGTCAGGAGAGCTTCTCCTGCCCAC